TGGCTTCAGGGTGGGTGTGTGTGTGTGTGTGTGTGCTGCGTGGGTGTCAGCAGCATGGGTGTGTGGGTGTGTGTACTGCAGGGGTGTCTGCAGCATGGGTGTCAGCAGCATGGGTATGTGGGTGTGTGTGTTGCGTGGGTGTCTGCAGTGTGGGTGTCAGCAGCGTGGGTATGTGGGTGTGTGTGTTGCGTGGGTGTCTGCAGTGTGGGTGTCAGCAGCGTGGGTGTGTGGGTGTGTGTGCTGTGTGGGTGTGCTGTGTGGGTGTCTGCAGCGTGGGTGTGTGGGTGTGTGGGTGTGTGTGTGTGCTGTGTGGGTGTCTGCAGCATGGGTGTGCAGCCCGGGTGTGGACCGCATTGCACTTGCAGTCGGTGCATGCCATGGCAGGCTTGTGTGTGTATTTCTAGAGACAAATCTTTGTGCGGGAAAGTGCGTGGTTGTGTGCATGTGACAGTTCACACGTGTGTAGCAGTGCGTGTCCTGGTGTAGCTATGGACTCAGGCCTCCGGGTTGGTCTGGATGTCTGTGACTATCGGCATCTGATGACATATGAACCGCGGGCCGGGCCCTGTCTGCCTGTGTGTGCGTGTGTGCACGTGCGCAGTTGGGGATCTGTGTTTCGGTATGTCTGTTTCTGTGTGTGACGGACCAGTTTCTTCTGTTCATGAGGATGTGTGCACGTGTGGGCATCGTTCGGGTTTCTGTGCTCACATGTGGGCCTGTGAGTTCCCGCCTATTCCCCTTCCCTGCAGCCACCTCCACTCAGGCCCCTGCCTCTCCCAGAACGGGGTCCGGTTCGCTGCCACACTGCCATCCTCCTCGAGACCGGTCCTGCTCCCAGAGCCCAGCTCCCCTGCAGTCACCAGGGCTGTGCTGGTGTCCCTGGTCCCCAGCCCTTCACCCTGTCCTCCCTGGCTGCCTGAGCCCCTCAGCCTTGGCTTTCCCTCCTACCTCTCCACCCACTCCTCTGTCCCCATGCTGCCTGCGGCCCCGAGGAAGCCTACCCCGTGTCTGTCCCACTGCCTTGCCCAGGGAGACCCACCCCTGGCTCTTTAGCCCCAGGTTCCCCCCCAGCCCAGCACCCCACACAGCCTCACCTGTGCTGCTGCGCTAGACCTCCAATCCTGCACTCCAGTGCCTCGCCCAATGCTATGCTCATCCCAAGGGGGCCTTGACCCCCAAACCTGCATGAAGTCTTGACCCGAGCCCTTCTGGCCTTTGAAATTGAAAGTAGCCTTTTCTTTTTCTTTTAATTTGCCATAGGGCATGTGTGCTCACTGGAGAGAGACAGAGGGAGACATAGG